ATGAAAATTTTGCTCGTAAGAGCATACATGAGTGATACTAGTTCGACAGCATAACGACTCTATGAGTAGTGTAGTCACTTAAACATAGAGTCGGGGTACATAGCGTAGTTCCTAACGACCTACTAAGATAAGTCTATCCCTAACCGCGATGAGCTGCGTCCGGAGGTGGTGCCGAGGATGTGGATGCTCCCTGAAGGCGAGCCACCAAGCGTTCTGCTTCCTGAAGTCGAGACTCCCACTGAACCTGCCTCATGTGAAACTCTCGAAGGACGTCACGCGTCTCCTGCTCCGCACGCTCGACCCTAGTCCTCAACTGGCGCACCTGATCAGCAGTGTCCTGGGCAAGGTTGCCCGTATTCCATAACCGTTTCACCATGACTGGAAGGGCTCGATCAGCCGGTCCTCCGTCTCTAAGGTCAAAGAACTCGCGTGACATGCCGTACGGGGGTCGCTGTCCCTGCTGTCTGCTCCATCTCCAAAGATCAATACCCCAGGGAGGTGTAGGACTAGTGGGGCCTACACGATAGGCAGGCACCCTGATCGGGTAAGGGGGGTTGATGACTTCGGACTCCGCATCCGAATCACCCCCTTCACTATCATCAGTATCCTCCTCGAGGATTCCTTCATCTTCCTCTGATTCGGCAGGCTCGCCCTCGACTTCGGCCTCCGGTTCCCCGTCAGATTCCTCTTCGGGGTCTTCCTCAGGCTCCTCCTCAGGCTCTTCCTCGGGCTCCTCCTCTAGCCATCCATTGTTCCCCTGGTTAGGGAAGTAAGGATCTCCGGGGTGATGAAAACCAGCCATGCGGTCTGCAAGAGTGTGTAATTATGCTAACGTTATTCCTAGGATGCTACAATTATCGCATAGACCAAGTAGGCGTTCTCTTTTTAGTGGTAGAAGGGTATAGTTTTAGGTTCCCTAGCTATCCCGATCTCATCAGGACGTGTGTTAGTTATACTTTGGAGAGAGTGTAGTTGATTAGGCTACATCCACTCCTTGGTACCACTAAGAACAGTCCTGAATTTAACCGAGATACTAGTATTATTTTTGTTTGGTTCGGCGTTATGTTCCTATTCCTAATGCAAGCAAGGGTGTTTTATTTACTTGTTTTGTTCAGAGTTATGTTAGTCCCTCTTTTTGGTTTATAGTTGCATATCAATGTGTGGCTAGATATGCTAGTTCACTATAAACAAAGCTCTGATACCAACCTGTCACACCCCCGAACCAGACGGCGGAAACGTCCGGGGGGTGTTGTGACTCAATTGAATACCATCACAATGAATATACATGAAACATAACATCATACATCACCAAGCATTGGAATAATACAACTGGTAGCGTTTACATCCATTACATTGTCTCAAAATATTACATGCCCAAAATAAATTGTTCATTGTTACTTAAACAACCGCAAAACATCGTAGAGTACAATCCTTTCTTCACTTTATCTGTTACCTGAGAATACAAGTATTTTGGAAAAAATGTCAACATGTGAAATGTTGGTGGGTTCATAAGTAATGTTTAAAATCCAATGTTTGTATTGTTTTGAAAACCACCAGAAAATCCGATATTTTCTGAAAATAGTATAGCGTAAAAAAAATATGTGAAGATCCGTGAGTATGCTTGTTTGTATTCTATAGATGTAGCGTACGAGTTGTGAAATTCGGCATGTAGTTCGTAAGTGTACTAGTTGAAAACCCTAGGAAAACCCGACGTTTTCCTATCACTTTGCTTTAATTAGTTTATGTGTTGTTGTTTCGTTACGTTAGAGGTATTCGTTGAGCTCTGGAGGCATTGGTATACAGTGGGTGGTGAATTGTTGTAACGTACGTTAATGAAAACGTCCAGTTGACAACCGTACTAGCGATCCCTTAGGCGTCGCTCGCACTTATTCACACAACTCAATCCTCCCGGACTTGTGTAGTCCCACGACCGAAGAGAAAAAGAGAAGGTGCGAAACCCTCGGTATTTACCTGCGTCGTTCAAGACCATTGCAATTGCGAAGGGCCCGAAGCCCAACCCGCAATCGTGAGTTCCCGACTTTACTAGCAGCACCGAAGGATCCTTGGGGACCAGCAACACGTTTGCCATTGAAAGTCCTTTTACACGCGGTTAAGTCGTATTAGACCCAACTACATGTAAGCAAGTATCCTTTGGGCCTAAAGATCATGTCATCGGGCTAGCTAGGCTCAACAAGCATGATTTGCAACTTTTGGGCCTAAGGAATGTACGTCGACGTATTGAGTAATTCCACGAGAGTATAGAGTTCCGAGAGTTCCATATGTGTATTGAGCGTTGTAGTGTTAGTAGTTTTGGATTTGTTATTGATTCGAGACCGAATCAATTCGTTTAACAACGATTTTTGGTATTGTTGTGTATTGTGTCGGTAGTCGCGGTGCCAATATTTGATCAAGTTGCGTGTATTGAATTAGCCTTGAAAGTTTTCTGTTTTCAGCCCCTCATTGTTTGTAAATTTACTTTTTCAACCCTCTAATTAATAACTTTCCGGTTTGGTCCTTAAATCATTTTTCTTGACATTTTAACACCAAAAATTATTGAAATTAATATTTTTCAGCATATTTTTCATTGAAAACAGTTTAAGTCCCTGAAATTGCAGTTTTCTCGGTTATAACCCCTCTTTTTCGCAGTTTTTACAATTTTGGCCCCAATTGGAAAATTTTTGCAACTTTGGTCCTTTTTAAATTTGAAAAGCATTTTAAACCTTTGAAAAGTACTTGTAACACTAATAGTCCACTGTTTTACAGAAAAACACAGTTTTGGCCCTCCAAAACAGAAAATTTCGCATAATGGGCCCTATTGGGCCGAAATTGTCATTTTTAGCCCATTAAGCTTGAAATTTATGTTTTTAATCCTCCAAAAGAGTATATTTTCAGAAAATACATTATGGAAACTGTTTTGACTCATCTCACCCATCAGATTTCGAAATATTTCATTTTGGGCCCTTCAACTTTGTATTTTTAACATTTATGTCTAAAAAAAATGAGTTTTTAGCCCAAAGTATGTATTGTTAAGCCACTTAGCTATTTTTCTTGGTATACTTTGTATGTAGTAGTATGTTTTATGTTAGTATCATTTAGCATAAAGTATATCTCGGTTTTTAGTGATTTATGACTAGATCCAACATCATAATCATACCAAACACACATATAAGCATAGAAATCATACCAAGCATACACATAATGATAGATCTACACCTTTGCTTGTATTCTCCCCCACAAAAACTTATAAAAACCGAAAATAAGGGGGTATGAAGCTCACCTTTGGATGTTGATTCGGTTTTTGAAGAAAGGATGGAAGAGAGTTTGGTGATTTTTGACCCTAGCACCCCTTGATGAAGTTTTCGAGTTTATGGAGTTTTCTAGGATGCAAGATCACGATTTTTGCATGGATTAGGAAGAGATTTTGATAAAACAAAGAATCTAAGTCATAGATCAAGCATAACCTTACCTTAGATGAAGAGTTTGTGGAAATATCCTCTTGAAAGCCTCCTAATTTTCGAGATTTTTGAGTGGAGAGGAAGGATGTGTTCTTAAGTATTCTAGAGAGAATTTGTGAGATATTTGTGTATGTGTGTGTGTGTTTCGGCCGAGAGTGAGTGAGAGGGAAAGAAGAAGTGATCTTTGAAGTGATATGCTCCTAGAAGTATGAGAGGTGCATGGAAACATGTTGGATACAAGTGAGGTGGCATGCAAATAGTCAACACTTCTCCATTTCTTCTTGGACTGGGCCTTGGGCCGAGAATGTGAAAGAAAAAAGAAAATTTGGGCTTCAATGCCCTCAAGCCCATGTAAAAGTTATGTTAGATGAGTTTTTAACCTAAAAAAAAATATAATATGATTTTCACATTTTGTTGGGCTAGTTTCGGTTATTCATGGATCAAAGCTTTTAATTCATTTCATTCTAGGCCTAATATGGCCCATAATGTTGAAATAAATTAATGTGGGTTCAATTAGAGCCTATATAAGGGTTCTAAGCCCATGATAGTCAAATTGGAAGCTTATTGGTCCATTTGGGTCCAATAAGGAAGTTCCAGTCCAAAATGGACTTAAACGAGAACTTCTAGGGTTTTCAATTTCTTGATGACCATTTGTACTTGTACGATGTATTTGTTTGAAGTTTTTGATGTCATAATAATAGGTATCACACATGCTCTTAAGTTTTTGATTCAACCTTTACTTAAGTTTAGTTATTATAAGACACCAAATTTCTAGTTGTGACAGTATTAGCTTCTTATTTATGTAATTGTTTCCAACTTTTAACAAAAGTTGAATTAGATGTATTCAACAAACAAAATAGACAACATATTTCATATAACAAATAGTTTATTGATGTCAAAGCAATAACTAATTTAGATTAAAATATATACAAAAATTCATAAAACATTATATTTCTAATAGATTAAAAGTAACATTATATTAAACAATTTAACAACCACTACATTCTAATAATAAAAAAAATAACGGTCGCTAATACAAACCATTAATGAAATTTTATTTCCAAACCAAAGCAACTGTAATTTTTCTTTCAACTCAAAACAATATAGTATTTTATATAATGCTAACCTAAAACAATAATATTTTTTCATTTTCAATTGAAAACATTAGCTTTTTATTTTTAATAAGAAAAACTATGTACTTTAATTTTTAACCGAAAACAATAACCAACTTTAACACATCAAACTTCATTGATTAATTTGGATAAATGCATTTGTAACGGGTAAATGACTAACAATTTGAATATTATTTAAGATGGTATTTATACATGAGAAAGGAAGATAATGTAAAGTAGGTAGCTTACTTATTCTTAGTGTCGATGATGAATTACTTCTCTGTTTATCTAAAAATAGAAAATAAATAGTCTTCCTTGATTTTAGGTCAAACGATTTCAACCAAATCAAAATAGTTATAACAAACTACGAAATAAATAAACACATCTTCAATTCGCCAACCCTAATCCTAATTGTGGTTTGAAGAAAACAAGCATGACGGAGTTGGATCCCATCATCACGGCCGACGTACCTTTGTTCCACATACTACCAAGGCTGCCTGTGAAGTCTCTTTTCCGTTTTTCATGCGTTTCCAAGCAATGGTACTCCTTTATGAGGACGCCAATGTTTCCCAAGATGCACCTCAACCATGTAATTAACGACGATCATCAAAATCAGCCGCCCTTTGCCATTCAAAGTCGGACCTCATCAAAAACTGTCGATTGTAACATCTTTGCATGGAATGATATGCGTACTCCTAACCAAACCTAGGATGTTGTTTGAATACTCTGATCTAATTTTATGGAATCCTGTGACGGATGACTATAAGACGTTGTCTAAAGCCGGTTCTCATAAAGATTGTTATAAGATCCATGGACATCAATTTGGTTTCTATTATAGCTCTTCTGAGGATGACTACAAGCTTGTATGTGTAACCCGCCATCCGAATGCCTACATATACTCTTTGAAATCCGACTCATGGGGAAAAGTCGAGTCAAGTGTTTTGTTGCATGAAAATCCTTCTTTCATGTTTGAGTTTGAACAACTCCTGGCTTCAAAATCATATTCAATTATGACGTCCGACACAAAGATGTCTGAAAAGTTAAGAGATGTGGGAACCACCCGTTTCAAAAATCGTAGGACAGATTGTATGGGTTTCATGATTGTAAGAGGGTGCATTCACTTCTGTGTTGCAATTATAAATTCTGTAGGTCGGTATGATACGATCGAGTTGTGGAGGATAAATAGATATGGATACTGGGACAAGGTGGTAACTTCTTCCCCGAAAGAGCATTTGTCTTGTGATGACCAGCCATTGCACTTGATGAGGAATGGAAATTGGCTCATGCATTCCAAATGGAAAGAATATGTATACGTACTAGATACGAAGAAACATACCGAACACATCATGTGTTCCATTAGCATGTCTTTCAAACCAGCAGGGAAATACATGGAGACTATGGTGTCACCCAATCAGTATATGAATTAATACCTCCATCACACTCTTTGAACTTGATCATATTCTAAGTTGGTTTTATTTTATTCATTTTGTAATGGAGGCAGCTTAGATGAGCCATCCACTCTTGTTACCATCACCAACTGAAGAAACAACTACACAAAGTTGGAGAGTCGAGATTAACTTTTTTCTTTTAGTTAACTTTCTCGTTGCACCGGATATTCATATTTATCTTCTGTTCATCATAAATCACTCTTTTGTTTTTTGAACAACGAATCACTTAAATTTGCATAACTCTTTAAGCCATGGATTTTGGTCATGTCAAATGTGGTGGACTAATGGCGTCTTTTGACAAAAATAGTTGGTAGCGGAAAATTATAACTTTTATTTGTTATATGAGTGTTTGACAAAAGTTGTAACATCCGAAAAATACAAACAAATTTAAAATTTTCAAAACAACCCGATTTTCATTAAAATTTTTACAAAAAGGTTTTCAATACAAATTATTAGAGTGTTCCCAGAATCACATTGCTACAAAATCATGAGGAGCGGTACGATTGCGCCTTCGCCTTGCCATGGTCTCCTGAAGAACCTGAAAAACATTAAACCACAACTGTAAGCCCGAAAGCTTAGTGAGATACCCCCAAGATACCAACCACGCATATGCCCTTCCAGGCTGCGACCTTCCGGTCTAAAACATACAAAACATACATAACATAACAGAACATAGAACAACCATGCATATCGGGTCTACTGTGTGACTGGTCCGCCGTATCGGGCCTTCAATCCATCGGATCCATCCTCCAGGTCTAGTCATGTCCTTCGAGTCTGCAGTGGGGTTGGTCCGCCCGCATTGGGCCTTCAACCCACCTGGTCCACTCTCTGAGTCTACAGTGTGACTGGTCCGCCCGCATCGGGCCTTCAGTCGGCCTGGTCCACTCTCCGAGCCTCGGCACATCTGGTCCGCCCTCATGGGGCCTACAGCCTATTCGGATCGCTCGCTGGGCCTTCAGAACAACCGGTCCGCCCTGGGTATCTTGGCCTACAGCACAAAGCAGGACCCACCTCAACCCATCTCCAGTCCAAACAACCATGTGCACAAAACATACATTCCTATAACAGTCATAGTCAACAAACCGAGCAAGCAGATCACATAACATATCATTACCCTAATCGGGTTGCTGACCTAACCGGTTGCTAGCATAGCATCACTCTGTATACCGGGAAACTGACCTAAACAAGGTCTCCTAGCATGTACCATCCTAACTACCAGGATGCAGACACATCAAACAATAACATAATAACCATATCTGAATCTCAATCTAATAAAGGGCCGGCATTGGTGCCTTAGACCCTGTTGATATAGTGAGGATAACTCACCTCGAAACTGTCGGCTGAAAGGATAAGATCCCGCTACTCCGAACTCTGACACGAACTCCTCCACTGAACATCAAAACATACAACTCAATATATACCCTTAATTACCAAAATACCCCTGGAAGACAACTGGTCAACCTTGGACAAGTCAAAGTCAACCCCTGACTGACCCTACTCGCCGAGTCAACCCGATGACTCGCCGAGTCTATATGCTCAGAACTTCCTTCAATCAACGACCCAACTCGCCGAGTCACCCCAAGACTCGTCGAGTCCAACAAAATCTGAGTCCACTCGCACCCAACTCATCGAGTCATCCCTTGACTCACCGATTCATCGAATCAACCAGAAATATTGGGACTTCCTCGACAAGACTCGCCGAGTCCAAATGGACTCGTCGAGTCCAAGGCTATCTTCAACCTACTCGCCGAGTTGTTCTTCCAACTCGTCGAGTTCCAGGCCATCTTCAAGCAACTCGTCGAGTCCACCCATGTGACTCGTCGAGTACCACCGATCTGAATCCATACAGAAGCATCTCAGGCCATGCAATTGATCCAAAACATAGATCCAACCTCCTACAATCCATCCATCACGTAAAGTGGCAAACTTTACGTGAATCTAACGAGATCTAAGCCATATTCACCTTAAAACCAAGGTTTGGGACATGGTAGCTTCATTAACAACACAAGAACAGGGGCTTTAATGCTCTTAAGGTCTTCTCCACTCCAGATCTGAGGTAGCAACCTCAGATCCATCCTCCAACATCAAAATGTCACACAACCAAGCACCCCACACAACCCCAAAATGAGAAACTAGGAAGATACAGCCCAAGAACGAAAGTATTACCTCCAAAAGATGCCTCAATAGCAACCAAACTCGAATCCAAGCAAAGCCCTTTGATCCAAGCCACTTCTCCTTCAAGATATCTTCAAACAACACCTCTCCAAGCTCTAATTTGCTCCACAAATGAACTCTCCACGAATTTAGGGTTTCTGGAACTCAAGGGGGGGATAAGGGAGGCTGTGGAGGGGTATAATGCTCTTTATATATGGCTCAACCCCGAAAATTAGGATTTTCTCCATACAGCACCTACTCGCCGAGTCCATCTTTGGACTCGCCGAGTAGGCCACTAGACACGCGACCATAGTCGCGACCTGACTCGCCGAGTCTATCCATGGACTCGCCGAGTCACCCTCTAAAACTTACACTTTTAGCCCTTCAACTCTACTCTTGTGATTCCGGGATGTTACAAAAGTAGCTGGAAGCTTTTGAAATATATAAAATTATATAAAACGACAATTGATTAAAAATAAATAAATATATAAATATATTTTTAAGGGTAATTACGGAAATTGATTTCAAAAGTTCAGTAGCGTTTTGTTAAACGCTACATGAAGTAGCTTTTAGATTTGGAACATTTTGTTTAAACTAAAAGTTAAACGTTCGTACTATCAAACGAAACGTTTTGTTTAAACTAAAGCGTTTTGTCAAAAGCTAAAAGCTAGAAACTCTCAAACGCTTCCAAAAGCTTCATGCCAAACACGCCCTAAGGTTAGTCATGTCTTGGAACACTACCATAACAAATAGTTACAACTATACATGTGTTCACATCCAAATGCTATATATATTGCCTAATGATAATTCTTATATACTTGTGGTGGAAAAGAAAAACAAAAACATAGGTTAAGTATATTTTATGAGGATAAAGAAGAGAAAATTGTTAGATGACACTCTATAAACGGTTTTCGAAACAAAAACAATATATAACTCCTATCATGTTCTTTTTAATAACCGGTATATTATAAAAAGAAAAGAAACACCTGATCGTAATTGTATGACCCCCTAACATAGATATTTCAAACCAACCAAAACTAGCGTAATATTCGTCCCTTTTTCAGGGTCAGCCCATGGGCCTAGGCAAACTGGGTGACTACCTCGATCCCCCCCCCCAAATGTTAAAGAGCCCCCATTTTATATTTGTTATATTCTTATTTAATAGCAGCCCATTGATTTTAAGTCTGATAGACAAGTTCTTCAAAGCCCAATACTGTGATGCGCTGATCCAAAAGAGGAAGCATGGAAGAGAGTTCATGGCGTGCGTCCGACTTCCAAGGCAACTAAGAAGGCGTCATGACTTTTTTTGGAAAGGGAACATCCCTAACGAGGGTTTCCGGGCCAGCTTTCGCGCACCAACTAATCCCCCGCTGCAAACATAAAGCTTTGCCTCATGCCCTGGAGTCACTGCAGGCGAACCTCCATGGCCACAAGGGCTAAGTGGTGCCAGGATTTGAACATGGGTCAGTAGGTTATCCACCATATCTTCCACATGCCTTACCAAGTCACCACAACCCAAGTGGTTGCATCATGACTTTTCAATAATAGATTCTATGGAAAACTCAAACGAAGTCTCTCCAGAAGCAACAGTTGATTGTCATTCTTCTATTTCTTATTTAAGATTCAAGATTTCAAGCTAATCTAGTTCTTCTCATTCTTTTATGATTTTCTGAATTCATCCACAACAACCATTAGTGAATTGATTTTTATTTTAGAACTGATACACTGATTGCTTCTCTTTCTGTTCACGATTTTAGAAAACTTGAAACTCTATTCTTTCCCTTCTTGTTTTCGATTACCCTTTTTTTGAATAACATATGTAAATGGGAAGTTAATCAAGTTATCTGATTTATTTTTAGAATCTGAACTAGAGACTAAGATCTAAGGTTAGAGATGAAATTCATTTCTGGTAATCTAATTGTGAAGCTTTGTATGTTTTAGCGATCTTGAAATTTCTTTATCTTTTGTGAAATTCGATTGTTTATGAAGTTGTTGAAGTTAGAGACAATCGAATATAAATCTGTTTAAGTTAGACAATTATTGAACTCCGTTTACTTAATTTCAATTTTTGAATGTTAATCTTCTTAAATTTGATTACTTAATGTTAATATTCTTATTTTCAATTTCTCAATCTTTCATATGTTTAGAATTTTATGTTGTTGTATTGAGTTTTTTCTAACTACTTATAGGTTATTGACAGCTAACAACATGTACTCTATTAGTGTTGTTTGATTTTTTTAGATAACTGGAACAAATATAGAATATGATAGATTTATTTAAGCATTTCTATCCTTTTAGTAATTTTGTACTTCTATCTTTATATGAAGGCATTGTATTTTTAGAATTTCTTTATTTAGACATTAAACTATCAAAAACTCATACAGTAATAGTGTTGTACCTTTAGCTTTTCCATTCCATGGTTATACAAATTTAAATGTATTGTTATTATTTGTAAAAATAAGTAATACTGAGTATGGTCTATGCCATTGTCTCAGAAAATGCCTTTATCGCCCATGGGTCGTGCTTAGCATGGCCCTCGAAAAATGTCTTTATCATGGAGGGCCCCATTTTTCATTTTGCCCCGAACCTCAAATTGTCTTGGATCGGCCCTGTCCTTTGTCGAGTCGGGCAGTGTCTTTCTATGTTACTTCAATTTTACGAGGGATTGCTTATGCTAGAATATTTAATACATGTGCACATTGCTTGTTAGGGTATTTGAGGAAAATGGTGAATTCAAGAGTATCTTGGATCAACTTGAACGATCGTGTGATCATTTTTTGAATATGATAATTCAACCTAATGACCGGTTATCACGAAACTCGACT